CTACCAGCAACGGGGTCCCTGGCCGGCTATACTCACTGGGCACAAAACCCATGGCCACATTCTTCTTCAGGCAGGGAGAGGGGCAGCCACTGGTCACAGTACCTGTGTGAGCAGAGGCTGTATGTCAGCATCACCATGCCAGTCCAATGCCCACCCTCCTGGGGAAGGAACAAGGGCTCTCCAACTTCCCTGGTCCACCTACCAATCACAGTGCCCTCCGTATTCAGGATGGGGCTGTGCGCCCGCATTGGTGCCCCCTCGCACATTAACCCCACACGTCTCCTCTGCACCTTGCCCTTCAGCTGAGCAACAATGACCGAGGCTCCAGGGAAGTCCATGGCGGCTCGGCGGCGCTTCCCTGAAGCATGACACACCGGGATTAAGCCACAGTCCATAGACCCCTGGCCACAGGAGGTCTTCCTGACAGGGACCCCAAAGTAACATCCAGCCAGCAGTGAGACCCCTTTGCTCAGGCTCCCCAAAGCCCAATTCCTCCCTGCCATGCAGTCAGCCACCCACGTCCTGTCCCCAGATCTTAGAGGCTATACTGCCCACCTCAGCCGGCTGAAGATCCTCAGCGTGTAATGGGCAAAGGTGTAGTGGCACCTTCAGGGAAAGGAGGCTTAGGGAGACTGAGTCACGGGCTCCAGGGTACACAGCCTTGGGAGCAGTCATGGGCTGGCCACACCAGCCTCCAGGATTCTATCCCTGAGTGCCAGCCCAACTCACCCAATGTCCAGCTGAGGCTGCCTTCCACAGGCGTGGTGTGGTCATCGATGTCATTCCCATACAGGCAGAGGCCTGCCTCCAGGCGCAGGCTGTCCCGGGCCGCCAGTCCCGCCAGCTTCACCTCTGGGTTTTCCAGCAGAGCTGTTGCCAGGCGGACTGCCGCCACCGCCGGCACCGAGATCTGCATGAGACACCACAGAGCAGGTGGGCAAGGGCTCCACAGTCCTGTCCCCTGCAATACCCTACACCCACTTCTTGACCTACCTCCACACCATCCTCTCCTGTGTAGCCACAGCGGGTTACACGGCAGTCGGACACACCAAACACCTCCATCACAGCACTGGTCATGAAGGGCAATTTCCTCAGATCCTCTGCTACGCCGGCCTGCAACACCTGCACCGCTGTGGGGCCTGGGCCCAGGGAACCAGTGACCCAGAGTCCAGGTCCCCGTTTCCCCTCAAAGCTGGACCACAGCCTTTACTCAGGGGCCAGAATAAGACCTGAGCAAGTCCTACTAAGGGCTCAAGGTGGGAGAAGATGCTCCTGCCCACAGCCCCTGAGGCCCACAGCACGTGGAGGGAAGGCCTAATTCCAAACTTAGAATTATGGCCCACAAATAGCACACCATCCATACCTAGGGCCCACCTGGCCTGCTATTCCTTCTGGAATGGCCCCTGTGCTGAGCAGTCAAAAAAGCCAGTGAGGCAAAGGTCGGCTCCAACCCCAGCCTGGCCTGCTCACCTTGCAGGGCTAGTAAGGCATTCTCCACCACCTCCAGGCTTACGTCCCTGCCCACGTTCTGAAACTCCCTGACCTTGTCCTGAAAGGAAAGACACAAACACCGCATCAGCTTCTGGAACCGCTTACTGAGCACCTACGGCAGGCTGGGAGCTGAAAAGCTGGGCAGAGTAAGCTGGTTCCCATCTTACAAAGTTATATAACTAAGTGGTAGGAATGACCCAAGCCCGGGTCTGTCCATGTTCACATTGGGCTCTGGCTTCCACCTTCACCGGAGGATGCTCGCCTGGGAGCCGTGGCCAGTCTTCCCTGCTCTACTCCCCCATCACTGAAACCTGGCATTCTCCATGGAGGGCCCACTCTGGCCTGCTATTCACTCACTCAAAGAGGTATGATCTAAGCCCCTTGTCCCTGCCAGATCTGTTCTGGACAGCAAGGATGCTGCTCTGTGAGCAAAGAAGACAGGGTACCTAGAAACAGAGGGGCTGTACCTGCATGAGAGCCAAGTCCTTGTCCCAGCAGCCAGCGTTGGACACCACATACAGGTAGCCCTCAGAGGTGCTGGTCACAATCAAGTCATCTAAAATGCCTCCAGCCTCATTGGTAAACAGCGACAGTGTCCCCTAGTGCCAAAGTGGAACATCTTTGCCTCCAGGTTCAGGAGGCCCAGGTCAAGTATGAGTCACACTCACTCCTGGGCACACACAGCCACCACCAATTCATGAACCCTCAGGCAAAGGGCTGGGAGGGGAGGAGGGGCAAGGAGGAAGGCTAGGTAAGCCCAGGCCCTTGCCCAGCCCAGGATTTGGATCCTCATGCACCAACAAAGTTTTTTACCCCTTCCCCATCTTGGGAGACCTCCCTGATCTGGTGGGGCCTCTGCACTTCTCCCCACTCAGTACTGAGAGCCCCATTTCACACTTAATCCAGGGCATCTAAGACTCGCTGCTTCATCCCACCCAGACCTGAGACAACTCAGTCCATGCCCCAAACCCCAACACGGAGACTTCAAAGTCCATCTTGATGATACCATGAGTGCCACAGCAATATGCCAAAATACTGTGAGGCTGGCCTCACAAGCCGCCCCACTGGATGGATGGAGCCTGAGGTTGAGAGATCACATGAATCACCTGGGAATCTTGTTAAAACACAGGTTCTGATTCAGCAGGTCTGGAGCAGGGCCTGAGTGTATTCCTAAAAACTCTTGGTGATGGCGAGGCTGCTAATTTAGGGGCTACCTTTGCATTGCAAGGCGTTTGACAGCATGGAAGGCCACAAACCAGGGCATAAACCTGGGTTTCTGGCTTCCCAGCCTGATCTGGTAAGGATGGAATAAGCCCCCTCCCGGCAGATAACTGGACGTCTGGACATACCCAGGGACCCCATCGCCCAAGACCACAAGCCCGGGGAAGCTGTGTCTGAGCCACTGCTGCACCCCCACCCCTCCCATTTGCTGGCTCAAGACTAAGAACACCCACTGAGCAGAAATACAAGAGAAGAGGGGCCCACCTGGTTTGGCTTTAACTCTGCAATATCTCCAACCACTAGACTCTCCATTAGCTTCACTCGGTCACAACCAAGTATCTTGGTCTGGGAAAAAGATCAAAAGCCTCATGCCACTGGGCAAGGACTGCCCACAGTCCCGTCCAACCCAGCCAAAATGCCTGAGCAGTCCTTTGACTCTGCAGGTGGCAGAGCCCCACCTGACTCCCCTACGTCCCCCAACACAGGAGAGGGTGCAATGGAGGAGGTTAGGGAACTTGAAAAGGTCCAGAACCACCCTGAATTACCCTTTTTCCAAACCAACACCCAGGAGAGTTGATGGGAATGGGTGCCAGCCCTGGGGAACCCAGGACACAGAGTCACACCTCTGAGTGGGAGCAGGCTGAAGAGATTAAAGAAAAGACAACCAAGAGACCCGCTGAGTTAATTTCCTGGGGGCCACAGTCTAGGACACCGGAGACCTCCACCTCTTCTCCGAGGATGGTGGCCCTTGGAATCCGGCTCCCCACAAAAGCCGAGGGTTGCTCCACTGTAGATGGGGAGGAAGCCCTGACTGGGCAGCCGGCGTGCTCCCCTGGCTCACCTGCAGCATGTGGGACACATCAAAGAGCGAGCAATGCCGGCGTGTGTGCAGGTGTGAGTCAACGTGACTGTCCCGGTATTGCACAGGCAGACTCCAGCCTGCAAACGCCACCATCTTCCCGCCATGAGCCAGGTGGAAGTCATAGAGTGGTGTCCTGCGGAGTATGTCCTGCGGGTGGCTGGGTTAAGGGCCACCAGTGTCCCGACCTCCACCCTCCTCCCTCCCCCACCTCCAAAACTGGCACCCTCCCCCGGCACCCTCGATCCCACCTGTGCGCAACTGAACGGACGGCCCAGGGCCGATGGGAGCGCCTGCAGCCGCAAGCCCAGATAGGCCACCATGCTCACTGCCCGCTGCATTGTTGCCCGCAACTGGTGCAGCCGGCACACAGAGGCCACCACGCTGCCAGGCACGCTGGGAGATGTAGTCCCAGCTCTGCTTGGACAGGTCTCTCTCCCACAAAGGGGATCAGAAGGGACGGGCAGCCCCAAAGGCAGGCCGCCCCAAGGGCAGGCGGGGCTTTAGGGCAGTGCGCAGGGACTCAAAGCTGTAGGGAAAGAGCCCCAGGCACTTCTAGTTGATCTTCCAGGGCCGATTAGGCTGTCCAAACCAGTTAAGCAGCTCAGAGACAGAGCTGGGGGCTAGGCCTCCCCTTGCGGACAGCCCTGCCTCCAAAAGGTCAAAGTTCTATCAAGGGCCAAAAGGCCTGAATTGCATATTCAGGACAAGAGGAGTGTAGGGTCACATGGGAGGAGGGGAGGGGGTGGAGAGGACACAGGAGGGTGGAGCTAGCCTGGCAGGCTGAGCACCTCAGCAATCCCGCCTCTAGTGAGGGTCTCCAGCTTTCCCACTGGGAAGACACAGGCAGCCAGCAGTCACGCATTCCACAAGTATTTATTGATCTTGCTGCACATTAGGGCCTATGCTGGGTATCAATGAAGTGCAGTCCCTGCCACCAACCCCAGGGACCTCCCCACACTCTTACACACTATATCCCTAGGGACCTCCCCCCCCCACTCTCTCTTAGAGACACACACACACACACAGACACACACACACACACACATTCTCTCAATCTCACACATGCACTCTCTCTGAGGGCTGCTACTCCCTGAGCACAGGATTGTGGTCATTACCCTCTTAGCAAAAGCTGAACAGGGCTAAGTAAATCACGCTGCAGGCAACACCTGCAAGAATTCTGGTAAGAGCAGAGAGTGGCCACCAGAAGGGGTCTGATCTTCCTCCAGAAAGCTGTTGAGCCACACAAATGTCCAACTTTCCAGGTCTAGCACAAGTAACAGTACTGCTGCATCATAGCCCCTGGGGGCAAAGACAGGAAAAAATGGAAAAGGCAGTTTTTCTCGTAAGGGCAGCCTGCCTTGTTCAGCAGCAGGCATGGGGTTGTAGCAGAACTCAGCCTCTTAAAAGACACCAGGGACAGCGCTCACCTGGACCCACACCTCTCTTTTATCATAGAGAATGATTCCTGGAAGGGGGTAGCTGGGAGAATGGACAAGGATGTGCTTTGGGCACAAAGGTCACAGAACTCATTCTCAGACTTCAGCCTTGCCGGAGGCATCTGCCCAGCTTGGATAGGCAGACCCATTTGGACACACATCGAGGAGCCAGCTCAGAGACCAAGGGGTTCAGGCTGCCCAAATCTCCAGCTTTGCTCCCTAGGTGGGCAGGAGTGAAGACCAGAAATTTCTTCTTAGGGGCATAACACAAAGGGAAAGAAGACCACTAGAGGGCGCAGAAAGAAGAAATGGGCTCCTGTTTTTTCCCTCGTTTGCAAAGTGAGTGTAAAGGCTGTAGCAGCCTTCCAGCAATAGTGACAGCACGCTTAGTAGATCACCCCAACCCAGTGCACTCAGGGTGAAGCAGCAGGCAGGAGACTGGAGTGTGCATGTTGGCCGGAGGAGCAGAGGACACAAGGAGAATCTTAGTAAGTAGAACTGAAGTGTTTTTAGGGTAGTAAAAGGAGTTTCGGGTTGCAGTCGGATAAGGACAGGGTACACCTCTGCCAAGAGCTCATGCTGAAGCAACACAGTGAGCCCCCAGGAATCTTGAATCTGTGAACATGGCCCAGACCCAGTGGACATGCAGGCAACACTCGGAATGCACAGAGAAATCACTTCAGCCTCTGGTGGCCCAAACTGGGTCTGGGTGGGCACGGAAGGCCAACGTCTTGGCTAATAGCCACGGTTCAAGTGTAGGAGAGCAAGTTCAGGTCGTAACAGCCATCCACCTGCAACACAAAAGACCATGAGATCTGACCCGCTCAGAGCAATGGGAACGAAGCAGAGGGAAGCGATCACTCACATCAAAGCGGCCGATCCTTGTGGAGGTGTGACTGGCCCGGATCATCTCTGTCAACGCCCACATCTGCTGCACCTCGGAGGATACCCTGCTGGGGTCTGGGAGACCCTGCTCCAGAAGGAGGGGTCAGTGGCCATGGGTCTCTCCCCAGCAGTGCCCTTAAAGCTCCAGAGAGGCCAAGTTGGGCTATGCGGCCCACCAAGGGAGACCAGAACCATTCCCAGATGACTTGTGAAACATGAGGTTGGGGCCCAATGTGCGGGAGGCTGCCCAGCCCCACTGAGAGATGCCTCAAAGCCCATGGACCACCCAAGAGGAAGATGGCACAGAGTGAATGAAGGGCCCTGGGTCCAGACTCAGATTCTTGTAGAAAGAGGCCCACCTGAGCCCGTGCTGGACACGAGTGCTTTGCACACATGGTTCTGACCCACGATGAGGGCTTACCTCAATGAGGGGAGTAGGCTGCTCACAAGGCACTGGGTGGGAGAGCCACTTGGGGAAGGTCATGGAGGGGCTCTGCAAAGCAAAGGCATACTCCCCTAAAGGAGACAGAGTGGAAAAGCCCAAAGACCAGATTCCCTGGTCCTCAGAGAAGACAGAAGGGCACCTGAGCCTCAGATACTCAGAAAACCCTGTTCAGAGGTCCATGAAGTCCAAGGGGCCATCAGACTACCTAAGAGCTTAGAGACTACTTAAGCTTTTCTGCAATGCAGAAGGCCCCAGGAACAGAAGTATCTCCCAGTACCTGAAGGCTCAGCTCTGAGAGAGGTAGGTAGCCTCAAAAGTTCAGGGGTATGAGGACATGACCTCTCCTCTCACCCTTAGCTTCCAGTATTCCCTCCTGGCTAATTTCCTTCTGAGTCTTGTTGTCCACTCCCGACCCCACACCCAGCTCTCCTAGCCATAGCTAAGAGCCTTCTAGGGAAAGGGCCAACCAACAGCTATGAGCTAGTCACTTACCTTTGGTCCCTGCTGGTAAATCTGCAGTTCCTCCACTGTGAAAGACACCCACAGTGGTGATGGCTGTCGAAGAATCAGGCGCAGCTCCAGTACTCTGGCCATGTCACACAGCATCTGACATAGATACACACACACACACACACACACAAGGACCCAGCAAGGCCCGAGCTCACTGCCCAAGAGCCTCCCAACCAGCAATGAGCCAAGATGCTGCCTCCCCAGGCCTTTAGGAAGGAAAAAAAAAAAAAACGAGTAATCCCTCCAAGGTGCAAGCCCAGGCCAGACCTGCCTCCCTTCTTCCCTCCAGGTATCCTGGCCCAATCCCCAATCCCCCTGTGAGCCCTCCTCTGGACTTCCCCAGCCACGCTGAGTCCCAGCTGACCTGGTGCTTAAACAATGATATATACTCCTGGGCTCCCTCCTCACTGTGTGGGTCTGGCATGAGGCAGTAGTCCCGCAGGCAGGTCACCCATTTGGGTGGGGTGAGCGTTGAGGTGTGCTGGCGAACACGGATGCTCAGAAAGGCTGTGTAGTAATTCTTAAACATGATCTCCTGTAACTAGAGCGCACACAACCCACCATGACAAATCAGACCCAGGCCCAGGGCCTGAGAGGCTCAAACATACCATCTTCTCCTCCCCTTGGGAATGTATTCTTCCACCAATCTAACAATTTCAACAAGCATCCACTGGGGCCCAAAGACAATTGCACTCTCCTAGAAGAGCTCACAGTCCAAAGGAGCAGGTCATGCAAATAATCAATGACCGTAAATCTTCTCACAGGTCTAAGATGCTGCCAGAACCCTAACTCTGGAGGAGGCAGAAAAACGTACAGATGAGGCCTCAGGAAGGAGGAGTTCACCAAGTGGACCGGAAAAGAGAGAGTGTAAAAGTAACATAAGCAAAGGGGCACCAAAGGTTGAGGAAACCTGGCCCACTCTTGAAACCACAGTGATTCAGCCTGACTACAGCAATCCTCATCACTGCACATTCATCAGAGTCACCCAGAGAAGTTGTTGTTTTTACTATAGATGTACAGGCTCCACCCCAGACCTACTGAATCAATATTTACAGGGTTGAGCCCTATAGTGAAGTTTCGCAGCTTATGGTAAAGAACAGCTTGGAAGAGGACCACACACACAGGACAAAGTGCATGGGGTCAAAAGGCAGGCAGGGCACAAATGGCTCCAAATGCCAAGCCATTAGAAAGTGGACTTTGTCCTCTGTGCTGAGGTCTTGTAGTGTCAGTCACTCTCGTAGTGTCAGCCAGCAGATGTGGACCGGCAACTGGAGACTGGAAACTGGAGCCATTGGGATGATCCCGATGAGGAATGCGCTTTACTTGACCTCCAGCAGGGACTGTAGGGAACGCGCAAGAGGCAGGTTTTGGGGTAACGCATTGTCTAATGATCCCCACCCCAGTGACCAGGAACAAAATGATCTTTCACCTCTCCCTGGTTCACAATTGCATTTCCACCATCATCCTACTTCCTTGGCACTTCTACGCTTGCCCTGTTCTGGACATGGGGAAGAGATGTTGAAGAGAACAGGACAGAAAACGGCAGTCTCGTAAATATGTGTTAACTGAAGTAATAAATAAATGGTTAACTGATTTGCAAGGGCCAGGACACTGCAGAGGCTTTCGGTAAAAAATTAAATGCCTGGAACACGCCCGAGTTCCCAGGTTAGCCCCGCCCAGGAGCCCCGGTCGCGCCCACAGGGCTTGCTCACCTCGAAGGGCGCGACGCTGGGGAAGGTGACATCGATGACCAGCACACCAGGCCGGCCTTGGGAGGTTCGCACGTCGCCCACCTGCAGGGCCACGGTGCCTTTCACATGGCAGGGCACCGACACGCGGGACATAGTTTCAGCTGCCTTGACCAAGCCCAACTGCCGCTCCTGGCCCCCGCAGTAACTGGCCCTTCCCGGCGTCCCCAGCAGAGCCCGCAAGAACTACAACTCCCGGAGAGACTCGCGCTGAGTCAGCCCAGCCAATTACTGATGCTCTGGGCCGGCCGGGAGTCGGAAGTGCTTGAGGAAGTGCTCCTTCAGCCAATCATGGCGCGAGCCTTCGAGAGCGGTGAGCCCTGCCCAGAAACTTCTGAGACTAGCCGAATGGAAGAGATCCTGGCCGGTCTCCGCGGGCCAAATCTTGCTCCGTTAGTACCTTTGTGCAGGGCGGTGGTTGGTTAAAGCATATAAGAGCACTAATGAGCATAGGGCCCGGCAGACATTGATCGCAAAAATAGTGTGAACACTCCTCCCCCTTTTTAATGGACAAAGGATTTGAACAGATAATTCACAAAAGAATATAAATAGCGAAAAAACACATGAAAAGATGCTTGATACGATTATTCATCAGGGACGTTCTAATCAGAACTCCCACAACCCCACCGAACAGGTTAAAATTAAAGACTGGCAAGAATTTGGAGTGCTTGGACCTTAATCCCTTGATAATTTCCAGCCATTTCGAAAAAGTTTGGCATTTCTTTAAAAACTAAATTCATGACTACAATATGATCCAGCCATTGTACTCTTAAATATTTACCCAAGAGAAGTGACTGCTGCATAGGCCCGCCCGAGGACTGTTCTTAATAGCCAGAAATAGGAAATAATCCAAATGTCCATGAGATGAATGGATAACTAATTGTGGTGTATCCATGCAATGGAACACTGGTTAGCAACAAAAAGAAATTAACAAATTCAAGTATCTATCAACATAGGAATGGGTAAACAAATTGTGGTATATAGATACAATGAAATTACACAACCTTAAAGATGAATGAAACTGATAAATGCTTTAGTGTGAACTTGGAAAACATCATGTTAAGTGATAGACATGAAGGACAAATATTATATTATGATACCACTTACATGAGTACTTAGAATAGGCAAATTCATACAAAAAGTAAAACAGAGTTGCCAAGGATGCAAGGGGAAACAAGTTTATTGTTTAATAGGTACAAAGTTTCTGTTAAGGATGATAAACAAAATTCTGGATATAGTGGTGTTGATTATACAACACTATGAATATACTTAATGCCACTGATTTATACACTTAAAATGAGTAAAATGGTAAATATTATGAATACCAAGTTTTTTTTTTTTAAAGGAAGTAAACAACTAGTATGCACACTAGCACCATTAAATTTCAAGTGTACTATGTTAAGCCAAAAAATCAGGCCCAAGGGCAACTGGGTGGCTCAGTTGGTTAAGCGTCTGCCTTTGGTTCAGATAATGATCCTGGAGTCCTGGGATCAAGTCCCTCATTAGGCTCCCTGCTTGGTGTGAGTCTGCTTCTCCTTCTGCCCTTTACCCAGGTCATGCTTGCTCTCTCTCCTTCTCTCAAATGAATGAAGAAAATCCTTAAAAAAAAAAAAAAAAAAAGTCAGACCCAAAAGAGTACATTGTATATGATACCACTTACATGAAATTGTAAAAAAGGCAAAGCTAATATATAGTAATATAAATCAGAACAGTTTTTCCTGGGGCAGAAAGAGGAGGGAAGGGATTGACTATGAAGAAATACAAGGGAATACTTCGGGGTAATGGAAAGGTTCTATAACTTGATTTTGGTGATTTGTAATTTTTTAAAAAGATTTTATTTATTTATTTGTCAGAGAGCACAGCAAGGGGAGCAGCAGGCAGAGGGAGAAGCAGACACCCTGCTGAGCAAGGAGCCCTATGCAGGACTTGATCCTAAGACCCTGGGATCATGACCTGAGCTGAAGGCAGATGCTTAGTGAATGAGCCACCCAGGCATTCAAAACTTGATTGTGGTGATAGTTACATTTGTATAGACAATTTTAAAAACTTATTAAATTGAATGCTTAAGATTTATGAATTTTTAAAAATATTTTATTTTTTATTTTTAAAAAGATTTTATTTATTTATTAGTAAATAAATAAATAGGAGGAAGGGTCAGAGGGAGAAGCAGACTCCTTGCTGGACATGGAGCCCAATGTGGGACTGGATCCAGGGCCTCCAAGGTCATGACCTAAGCTGAAGGCAGTCTTCGCCCAACCAACTGAGCCACCCAGATGCCTTAAAGATTTTACTTTTAAGTAATCTCTGCACCCAACCTGGTGCTCAAACTCACAACCCCATGATCAAGAATCACATGTTCTACAGACTGAGCCAGCTAGGTGCCCCAATTTTTGTGCATTTTTACTGCATCTATATTATACCTCAATAAACATGATTTTAAAAGAAAAAAAAAGCAAAGCAAAAAATGAATGTTAACCATTATGTTTATCATCATCACCATCCTTCTAGGCACTTGTAGAAACAGTGCCTCAGATATCATTAGGTAAGCCTGTTTTATTGATAACAAAGCTGAGGCCGGAAGTGTTCCAGTGATTTCCCAAGCCAATAAAGCAGTACAAAGTAGAGCTGGGGCTCTACTCTTTTGGGCTCCTTCCTCACAGGTCAGAACCTTCCAGGTAATAGTCAGCTTTGGTGACTCGGGCCTGTTGAGGAACCCGAAGACACAGGCCCAGTGTAACCCATAGTGCTCTCAAAGTGGGATACCAGACAGACACAAAACCAGGATTCCAGGCCCGCCCAAGGAACAGCCTGGAAGACTTGTGCCTTCCTAGTCCAGGTGCCCCCAGAGACTTCCAGGGACAGAAAACATTCCCTGTCTTCTCGTCTTCTCATTAGCTGTTGTCAAGGGAAAATAATTTTTTTAAAGATTTTATTTATTTGACAGAGAGAGAGACAGAGAGAGAGAGAGAGCACAAGTAGGGGTGCAGCAGGAAGAGGGAGAGGGAGAAGCAGGCTCCAGTGAGCCTGATATGGGGCTCCATTCTAGGACCACGTGATCAAGGCAGACGCTTAATGACTAGCCATCCAGGCACCCCCAGGGGAAAATAATTTGTATCTGTGGGTCTCCTGGACTGGCCATCACTGTCTCCATTTGGACTCAGACTAATGATTCACTCCCTGGGTCCCTCCAGTTCCTGAGAGTTTCCTCTTTCTGAAGACCATCCCATGGTCAAGAGAAGCTTTCCCAAATCCCGGAAGATAACAGGCCCCCTGGAAATCAGGAGGATATTTACAAGCTCTGGGCTCTAGGACTCAACTCTGAAAGCATAGGCCCAGTGTCACCAGCTAGACCCCAAGACTTAAATTACTACTCGCCTATTAGTACCCACCAAATTTTGTCCCACATTTTTCCCTAAGCTCTCCTTTCCAGCTTATCTCTTAACTCAGGCAAAGGACCCCAGGGACACAATGTGCTGTGATGGAAACCAAAACTACCCCTCAAGCAATAATGCCTGCTTGGATAAAGAGCTCCGGCAGCCCAGATATCCCAGACTGGTTTGAGCTGAACCCCTGACTCATGCCTGGGCGGATGGACCTTGGAGTTACCCATGGAGTCACCGACAGGTACCTTTACCTCTTCATAATACTGAAGTCTCCATCCAAGGCGAAGCACAAGCCTCATTTACATAACATGTAAGGTATGGATAGGCTTGTTTCCTTAAGGCACATACATGATCTTATGCCTACTTCTCCATCCAATGACATGGCTCCCATTTCTTATTCTTTTTTTTTTAAAGTTTATTTATTTACTTATTTTTAGTAATCTCTACACCTGCTGTGGGGCTCAAACACAAGACCCTGAGATCAAAAGTCACATGCTCTTCTGACTAAGCCAGCCAGTACCCCAAGGCTCCTATTTCTATCCATCCTAACCCGAGGGGGCACCTGGTTGGCTCAGTCAGAAAAGCATCTGGCTCTTGATCTCGGGGTCGTGTGTTTGAACCCCACAGTGTGTGTAGAGATTACTTAAAAATAAAATCTTAAAAAGATATAAAATAAGTCAGTATATAAATATTCATCCTAACCCTAATTAAGGGAACCTATTCACCCTTTCTCTGGGAGTCAAGGTTGGAAGTTATTTCCTGTGATCTCCTTCTTTGCTGCACATAACATTTCCTTTGTGTAACAACTCCTCCCGGTGTAGTTTCTGTGACTCATCAAGGAGCAAATTCATGTTATTCAGTTACAATAGCAGACACAGACCTGTGTGGTCCTTCCCTGCAGATGGGTCTTGCCTCATATCTCCCTGGTAGATAGCCACCTCCACTCCAGCTCCTCCAATCCATTACCTACTCTGTGGCAAGACAACCTTTTCAGTATGAAATCCTCCTGGAATCCTTCTGCTTCAAGGTCAAATCCAAAAGCTCTTTGGTAAGTCCATGAGTTCAAGGCATGAATGGCCCCCACCACAGGCTACTCAAAACCTGCTCCCTGGGGGCACCTAGCTGGCTCATTCAGAAGAGCACATGACTCTCCACCTTGGGTTGTAAATTTGAGCCTCAAGTTGGACATAGAGATCACAAAACAAACAAATAAAACAAAAATAACTTAAAAAAAGAAAACCTTCCCCAACGCTGCTACCTTCATTTGAGTTCCTCCCACATGGTGCCCTCTCTTTTCCTTCTAGCCTGTTCACAGAACATTCTTTAGATCACTTCTGCCCTACCACCAATCACCTATCTACCCTTCAATTCCTGCTTTAGATTTTGATTTTTTAAAGAGTACTTTCTTGATCTCTTGGACTCAGTTATATCTTGTACATTGTCAGAGGCTTTCCACATTTTATTGTAATCATCCCCCCAAAGCCTGTCTCCCACACTGGGCTACATGAGGTAGGAGAGCAGGAATTTATTCTGTTGCCTTGTATCCCACATCTCCTAGCATCATGCTGGGCATAGATGGTGCTCAATAAATACAATCCAAATGAACAAATTGTTCAATTTTAGGGACTTCTACTTCCAGCTAAAATGGAGGAATTGGGAAAAGATTTACCCCCTTGCCAACCTGAGCCAACTAAAGAAGCAGACAAAATATGTGAAACAATCATTTTTAGACACTGTCCATCAGACACCACAGAACAGTGATCCCTAAAAGAGGAGAAACAACAACAAAAAAACACTCAATGATTATCCCAGTTTACTGTCTGGAAAGAATTTCCAAATATAATGAGGAGGAACTGAGACGGAGTCTGTCAGACTCCCTGAGTTGAGGAGACAAAACTGGGAGTTTGGAGAGGCAAAGATGGCTAGAAGCTAGACAGGACAGAGCTGCAGAGAGAGATGACTCCAGAGATCCCTAGGGGGGATCCCCTTGAGGTTTCAGCTTAATATGATCAGCACATGCACGTGAGGAAACTACCCAAGGCCAGACAAAGAACTACCCAAAA